GTCACCTCCCCTCCAGGAGGAGAGGAAAGCTGCTGGTGATTTGGGGTGCTCTGACCCCACTGCCTTCCCTGGGCGCAGAGCAGCCCCCCAGCTCCCCAATTTAAGTAGAATCCTGCCTATTCATTAGGCTAATGAAGGGCCAGGAGGGGTCTTCAGGTTCCCTGCACCCTTTAGCAAAGGACCTCCTGCTCCCTTTAGCAAAGCAGAGCAGGAGGTGAAGAGACAGGAGGAAATTTGTCACCATCAAATGGAGACAAAGACCAGGAGAGTCCTGGGGAAGCAGCAAAGCAGGGGCTGAACCCCAGGATGAGTCCCAGTTCCTTCAGAGCAGCAGTGACCACCACGGTCCTACAGGGCTGAGAGCAAACAAACAGCAAAATCCCCTCCTGGGATGCCAGGACCGAGGCTGGTGCCCTTGGCCTCCCATGCAAGGGCATGGGAAAGGTGATGGGGTCAGGGCAGCTGCCCACAGACACCAACCTGATGGAGAAAGAGGCCAGCAAAGAGGGATGTGGCACCATTTCATTTTCACAGGGGAGTGCGGGCGGACAGCGACAGCTCACGAGCTGTTCCCCTGTGCTTCAGATTTGTGAAAACCAAGGGAAAATGTTAAACACTGGCAACCTGAGCTAGGAAAAGCTGGACAGCGTGGCCACCCCAAGCAGAGGAGCCAGGCTGTGCCACCAGCACCCCTCCACAGGGCTCACCCACCCCAGGGCAAAATAACTCCCAAAATACCTCCCAAGGTCAGGGAGCATCCAAGCCACCAGCACCCCGCTCCTCCCCTGCTGGATCCATGGAGCCATCCCACCCCACGGGTGTCCCTGCAGGTTCCCACTGAAGACACAGCCATGGCTGCTGAGAAACAGCCCCTTTGCTGAGGCCTCCCTGTCCCGATAGCCATCGGCAACCGAGATCTGACTCATGGATGTGACATTTGTGGTTTGGTGACTTAGAGACAACTGCCTGCCCCTGGAACAGCATCTCTGCAGCTCCCAGGAGAGCACAGCCGGCCCTTGGGCACAAGCCATAGGGTGCTCAGATGAAGCAGAAAAAGACACTGCCCCCAAAACTGGCATTATATCCCCAAAATCGTGGACCAGAGGCAAATTTATTTGTCTCCACCAAATATTCTACTCAGCTGTGAATCCCGTATGTGCAACCACGGATTGGTGCTACTCCCCCACCCAGCCCTATTGAAAAGCCAAAAAATCCCTTTTCTATATTCAAAAAATTCACTTTTCCAGACTAACTAGGGAATGCCTTCGGGATTTTTAGTTTCATTCCTTAAATATTTGCACAAACAAACACTTATTTTCATGGATGTGCCCAGGAAAGCAAAGTAAAACTATGAAAGCGGTTGTATCCCCCAAAGCCATGAGGAATTTAAATGAACATCCGTGAATGTTTTGCAGTACTCACCCAAATCCAGCCAGGCAGGAGAAGACACACTGAGCTCCTTAAAGAAAACAAGGATTTCTTGTCCTAACACTAAACAAATGTTTCACCATTTGGCCATATTCCATCCTTGGTGCAATCATTTAATTCTCCCCCATTTAATAAAAAATTATGTCTGAAACAAAGATGTTTATTGCTTTTATGAGTTCCTATTTGTATGGAAATTGCACACCAGACGTGATATTTCTGTTGCTCGCTCGCTCTTTATTTTTAAACAAGCGAGTTAAACCCCGACATTTCTTCATCTGGCTTGGGGAGGGAGAAGTATAGATTAAAAAGAACCATGCAAATGTTTTTTATAAACTTCTCTTCTTTCCTTGCCATGGGACTGCCTTTAATTAGCTGCACGGAGTACAAAGGACACATTTGTAACGCCACCATCTCCGAGCCGAGGGCAGGAAGACGAACGTGGTTATTCTGCCTCTGCTCTGGTGTGGGGTATCCAGGATGGGGCTGGGAAAGTCAATCTGTGTTTACTCCCCCCCATCTCATATCCATCTCATCCACATCCCTGCTCCCCATCCCTGGAAGTGCTCAAGGTGAGGTTGGACGGGGCTTGGAGCAATCTGGGACAGTGGAAGGTGTCCCTGCCCTTGGCAGGGGATTGGAATTAGATGACCTTTAAGGTCCCTTCCAACCCAAACCATTCCCTGGTTCTATGATCTCACTGCATCCCTGTCTCCTCCTGCTGCCTCTCCAAAACCTGCTCAGAAGAACACTCAGGGGAAGTGTCGTGATGCTGGTTGACACCACAGAGCCACCTCGAAAGGACACGTAACCTCTTGCATTCTCAAAAATAGGCCAAAGTCTGGTCTGCAGTGACCAGTTTCTGGATGATCTGCTGCACTTTGCTCTTTGGGGGGGTTTATTACCCCCCTCCCCTGATCTGCTGGGGCTCAGTGTGACATTCCAAGCTGCCACCCAGCCCCTGGGTCCTCATGACCACGATCAGCTCAAGCTTTTGCTCCTGAACTTCATCAGGAAGGGAAAAGGCAGAGGTTTGAAGAGCTCTTCCCGACGGCTTGGCAAGTGCCCAGCTCCTTCCCAAAGAGGTCTCGGCACACGCCGCGGTCCCGGCAGCTCAGCCCACACCAGCCCACCCGGTTCCCCCTGAGCCACCCGGCTGCAGAGCAGTTCCACAAGAGGACGGCGGTTGTGAAACGAAGACAGGCTCAGTTTTGGGGATGTGAGATCCTGCTGGGAGCTGGGGCTGAGAGATGAGAAATTCGGGGAGAAGCGACCTGCCCTGACAGGCAGTTTGCCCGTCCCGAGGCAGCCGTGAGGGATGTGCAGAGACATCAGGAACAGCAGGGTGAACAGACTCATCACCCAGTGCAGTTATAAATTTAGCAAAAATACACAGCTGTGTGTTGTCATATTTAGGATGTTGTATATAAATAAATATATTAAATAGTAAGCTCGACGGCCGCCCTGATCTCCCCCAGCTCTCCTCCCCTTCCAAACCAGTTTTCCCCAGCGCGCTGCACCCACCAGCATCCAACCAACAACCTGGGCAAACACACCAAACCCATCCCAGCACAGCTCAGCCCCGACCCTTCCCAGCACTGCCATTGCAAGGGAAAAGGGAAGGATTAAACGGGAGCAAACCACACCAACCCTGGTGTCAGACCATGTCACCTGGACGAACGCGGCGGCAGCGCGGAGCCGGCAGGAACCCCGGCAGGCAGCGGCAGGGAGAGAGGTGCCAGCAAAGCCGCATCAGAGCCGCTGCTGGTTTGGTGCTTCACCCCCCCAAAAATAAATAAATAACACAAATACAAACCCCGCCGGCGCATCCTGCTGCCGAGGAACGAAAGAGCCCGTCTGTACTCACCGCGCAGGAAAGCGGAGGAGTAGGTGGCGAGGGAGTCGAAGATGCTGTTGGATCCCATCCTCCTGGCCCCTGGAGGAGGAAGAGGAAGGATGGGAGAGGCGGCGGTGAGGAGGAGGAAGAGGAAAACCCTGCCGGCGGCACAGGTAGCCTCTGGCTGGCTGGTGGTTCTGTGGTCGGCACGGCAGAGCCGCCGGCTCGGCATCCGCCGGGTGGGAGAGCGGCGTCACCTGATCCGTGGCGTCAAGGGGGCCGGTGACATTGCTGTGGCTTTGGGGTGCTGGGGTTCGGGGTTCTTTTTCCTATATATGCCTTTTTTTTGTGTGTGTTTTTTTTGTTTTTTAAACTAATAATTTTATGGTTTGTAGTTGGTGGCTCGTGGGAGGCTCGCTCGGACTCGCGGCTGAGTGACAGACGGGAGCGGAGGAGACATTCCTCTTCAATTAATTATATTGTTGCCTTAGAACGAAGGAAGAAGAGGGCCCGTAGATCCCTAATTGGGTGATTGAAGTAATAACCCATTTACATGCCGTGGTTTTCTCCTTTTAACTGCTTTTTCTCCCACATTCACCACTTGTCTGGATCCCAATTTTGAGCTGTACGCGGCTTTCCGCCTCCCAGCCGGGTATGGGGACTGTGCTGAGACTGCTTCCATATGTGTGGATGGGTGGTTCTTCACAAGGATTTTATGTGAATTAGTACTAAGCAAAAATATGAAGCACATGGAGCAGAATAAACAGCTCTGGCTGCGGAGAGGGGACCGGGGAAGGTGGAGAGGGCTGGAGAGGAGGAGGAGAAGGAGGAAGGCAACGGGTACAGCTGATCTCCTGCTCTGCCCAAATGACAGAAGATAACTCTTATATGTATATATTTATTTTTTTTTTAAGTAGGAAAGCCATTCTGTAATAAAGTGATAAAGCCATGGCACAGCAAATTTCCAGGAGCACCTAAAAACGCTCTTTCTGCTGGCACCCAGTGGGTGCTCACACCAGGAAAAGGAGCTGCCACCAGACACTGCCTTGCCTGGGGCTGGTGGGTTTTCTCATAGCAAATTCCTGTTATCACCCTTGGAGATGAATTTCCCCTAAATAGGAAGAAATGTAGAATTGAAACATGAGCCGATATTTGTCCTTTTCTTTTTTTTCCTCCTTGTAAGAAAGAGCAAAGGGAGCTCTCTGATGGAACAAAACACGCACAAACTAAGCTTGAGCAACTCAAATCCACAGTAAAATTGGGCCCAAGGCAGAAGACACTGGACATTGGGGCACACAAATATGATTACGAGGTATTTGGAGAGTTTGGTGTTCACAACTGTCATTCTCCATGGAGTTTTTCATCTGATGGATGATGGTGCTTGGATGCACCAAGATGTTATTGGCCAAGACATTACAGATTCCTGCACAGTCATTGGAGACTGGGTTAAAAAAATAGCTGCTCACATTTACTGCAGCTGAAAACTCCTCGTCTGCTGCCTTCGAGCGAAGAAGGGGAGGAAAAGTGGTTTCAGAGCAATGAAGGGGGCAGAGGTTGTGCAAATGCTGGCACAAAAGGAAAGGGAAAAGCAACCCAGCCTGGAAAACACCCGGAGCTGCACAGAGCGGGGTCTGTGGCACCAAACAGCATTGCCTTGTCTCGCCTGCCAGACACTCACCACAGCCTCAGCCCCAGCCTGGGAGGCTACAGGCAGCAAAATTATTTCTACCACAGGGGTGGCATTGCTCCCCTCCTGCTCCACCCCAGGGGGGATCCATTCCTCTGTCCCCATCACCGTCCAGAGGGAAGCAGGGAAGGTCAGCCCAGGAGCACCCCACTGGCCACCCCTGCTTGCTTCAGCATTCCAAACCTCCTGGGCAATAGTCAAGTTTTTCAGGCTGGTTTTTGGATTTCATGGCTCCTTCCCTGCCATGAAAAAAAGGGTGGGAATTTTAGCCCTCACCTGGTTTAGGTCCCATGGGGTCTGATGAGGACAAAAGTCAGGATGGAGAAGAGAGGGAAGAGTAAGGGAAGGTCCTTTTATAAGGTGCTTTTAAAGTATCTTTCCACTCCTCACATCATTAGGTGCCAGGTGGGAACTCTGATTCAGCTGTGCTGGTTTACACACTGGCCAAAAATCCTTCATCAGCACCAGCTGGGAAGGCTCTGGATGGGGCTTTTCTTCTCCATCAGTCTCCCACCATCCCTTTTCTTGGCTGTACCACCCCATGGACATGGTCCTGAGCACAGCCAGGGCTTCTGGTCCTGGTCATCATCCTCATGTGAGCCACAAAATCAACCTTTATCATAAAATTTCTCCTTCTGCCCGTTCATATAGTGGGGCTTTAAATCAAAATGCTCCCAGTCACTCCTGCAGTCAGGTGTAAGGGGTGTTGTATACCCAACCTGCTGGGTATTCCATACATTTTCTGGGCACAGTACATGTGTGGCACTGTCAGCACGTCAGGGAGGTCGATGTAAGCAGGCAATGTGCTCATTACACAGATTTAATTGCAGCTCGGTGAGAGTCACGGACACCCCCAGCATTCCCAAGATCCAAAATTCCTGCCCAGGGCCCCAGGAG